CCAATCACAACAATCCTGGGGATGCCCCATAGCGATTCGCCCTGTAGGCAGATCCTATGATTCCAAACCAGAGACCCCAGGCACCACACCATCACTTGCTCTGACCGGCAGTATGACGCCATTGGCGCAAGCCGCAAGCCCTCAAACGCTCAAACCCTAGATTGATGGAAAACCATGGGAAACCAATTCATCTGTTCATATATGACTACATCAACTGCAACACCTTGGAATACCTTGGAAGCACTTTTCCATCTACCTGGGGTTGCCTCGTGCTTGTGCTTGCTGTTGAAATCCATCAAGGCATTCATCCCTGAAAGAGGAGATTCTCTTCATCGAAACGCACAATAACCAGGTGCATTCTGCTGCAGGATTAGTCATAGAATATTTTGAGGGTTTCCAGCGTGGATTTTCAGGTCATAGGTGCCTATACCAAACGCAATTGAACGAATCTGAGGCACCAATCATTGCAATCAAATGATTCATATCTTCTGTTCACTCTCTAAAGCTGAACTTGTTCGTTCAGTTCTAAATCAATCAAGTTATATTGTATAGCAACCCCCCAAAAAAAGATAGAAACATATTTCCAGGAGGGTATTTCGAAGATGTTCCCCCAGTAAAATCCAGGTTTCCACGGTATTTCCAGTAAGAAACGCCACTAACAACCAAGGATCTTGGTGACGTTGGCAGGCAAGCACTGGCTGAGGATACCAGCCCCGCAGTCCCTCATCCTGGCGATAATCACTCCCTGCCATTACATGGACATACCATGGTCCTTATTAATATATATATATAAAAATAGGTATTGCATATGCATATGGTATATGTGTGCGACGTGCATGCACATATGCATATACATTTAGATGGTAATACATATGTGCATGCAAAAACGCACACACACACACATATATATTTATATATATATATATATATATATATACACGCCTTCCTCAGGTTTAGGCTAGCGCTTAAGGCCCTTAACGGGGCCGCACATCGATGGGCTTGAGGAGACAAACACATACTTGGTGATATTATGTATGCTGGTGTATACTTGTCACACATTTTTTTTCGAGAAAAGTGTACCTGACAAACAGCAAGCAGTCAGGGAAATGCATTGACGTCACTGGTCGCGTCCCAAACCCGATGCCACCAATGCGAGAGAACCCCAGAATTGGTGGTTAATAGGATGGTTGTATCTAATAGGATAGCAACAAAAATAACTTGGAAGCCTGGAACTATGAGGGAAACATCATCGAACTACCATCCTGGAAACAATGTTCTGCATCCTTTTTTATTTTTTGGGACCTCAAAATTCTGTAAACTCTTTGAGGACTCCACATCCCAGTGGGTCCGCAGGACTATTTGACCCATACAGCTGTTCCCTTTGACCCTTCACAAAAGCTTGGTGCTTTCGCTAAAGGGAACAGGAAACGAATCAAAAAACAAAACAAATACATACATATTATATATATAATATACATAATCCCCACAAAAAAGATACACAAACATCTTCTAAGCCATGACCACATCAGGATCGGGTCCTTGATCGACCCAAGTTTAGGATCGTATCAGAGCTGCCTGACGTTGCGGCTTACACGGGCCATTCAGGGAAGGCACGCCGTTGAGAAGCCACACTGAAAGCACGTGTCTCTGGGGCGGTTCATGGCTTTTCCATTCATACATGATTATAATTGTATATATATATACACCCTTTATGTATCATGTATAACTATATATGTAACTGGCTGAAGTGAGACGTTTGACAGGCACATACAAACTGGGATGCACGTCGAATTGCCCTCATTGTTTGTTGCTTCTTTTCTTGCAATCAAAGAATGTTCAACCATGTTGGTTTGTATCTCTGTTTTATTGATTACAGTTTGATTGATTCATTGATCTTCAATCCATTGAAGTACAAGGTAGGCATCACCACCCTAAAATGTTTGCTTGTTGTCCGTTTTGCTTCAGAATTTCGTTTGCCTTCACCTATGGTGCTCTTGGGTAAAGAAGGCCATGGGAACATCACCTTCTGAGTACTGATTCCCCAGCCAGCTTGCATTCAACCTGGTTTGATATCACCAATTTTGGCATCTCTGATCTGATGGTTACATGATTACACACCTTTTGGGGCTAAACATGTCAACTTGCTATCCGTCTGAACTCAGGACACTTTGCTATTCTTTGCTGACTTCGTGAGTGTCATGTTTGAGACACATATCCCAAGGATGAATCATCCACCTAAATGATACTTATACATATAATATATATATATATAATTTATATAATCATATATACACTATCCTGTATCTGTTTCTCTAGGTGGACTAGTCATCGCCAATCAGATTTTGTTCATCATTCGGCCACCACTTCCCCAGCCCAACCCATCCTTTACGGATCTGCTCCAAACTGAGCTCGTTGGTGCCCACCCGGAGGCTTTTCAACCTGGCAGCCACTGGCAGCTGCCCGCTGTGCAAACCTTCCACTAGTGTATGGGAATTAATCTAGGTAGGAAAGCAACACAATTCCTAAACCATCCGAAGCCCTAAAAAGCCCATGGAAAGCATCTTCTTTTCGGCTTGACCTGTGGCCATTGGAACAAACCAACTTGATTAGTTCTCAATGGTGAAAATTCAAAAGGCGGATTTATAAATATATGATCATGATGATCATGATCAATACATATCAATACAATAATAATCATTAGCTGGTTGGTGGTTTCAACCCCTCTGAAAAATATGAGTTTGTCAGTTGGGATTATTATTCCCAATAAATGGAAAGTCATAAAATTCCATGGTTCCAAACCACCAACCTTTTTTTGTGTGCACAGAATTCCCCGCAAATTCCCACGAACTCGACCGAATCGACCCACGAACTCCCAGACATTGACCAAGCTGCGATGGAATCTTCGCCAAATGTTTTCCCAGAGCGACGCCAGCATCTGCACCGCTGTCCTGGTTTGAAAACATATCGCTGAACGGAAAAAAACAGGAAAGCTTACTGGAAACCACAGTGAAGGACATATCAATTTTGTTTTACACGATCTCTCCATTCAATCTGATTGCTGTTCTGAGTGAACATCTAACATCCCCACATGGATCGTGATCGACCAATGATTTATATGACGTTTTTAAGATGGTATAGTCCAAGTTTTGGGGATGGGGGATGGAATATGATGGAATCACCACAGCAAGACGTCACTTGGTCACACTCTGAAATGCCGAAATGCCAACAGCCAATCCAGCTCAGTGGTGCCAAGATGCCCAGAAACCACTGAGATCCAGATGTTTAAGTTTGCCACCTGCCAGTACCTGACCAAGCTCATCATACAACCTTGGCCATGGTCACGGTTTTGCAGGCTACGGCAGCTATGGCTGCTGGTCAGTTGGTTACAAAGGACACCCCCACTGAACAACCAACAGGCAAATTATAATAGGTAAGCCAAACCGATCCATTTACATCAATTTACATGATTTTTCTCTAAAGGGCATTGTTGCTGCCAGGTCAAGTGTATGGTACACAGGTATCCCGGTTTGAAGCCATACTTGTTCTTTGCATCTCCTCTTTTTCGACAACAGCATTCAAGAGTTCAAACACATTCACCGGAGCAGAAATCAGTCAAGCATCAGTACCACTTCCATTTCGCACATGACAAAGTGAGATCTAACAGCATGATTCTTCTGCCCAGCATTTACAATACACATCCCCAAATCAAAAGAGGTGCCTTGAACATGTGAACAAAAACAGTCACATATATATATATATATATCAGTATTCTGTACCTTGAACAATCGCATGTAATCATAATATGAGTCTGAGTAGCTGACAAAGTTATGTGTTAAACTTAATGCCATGCACAAATTCGGGCCGTCCCTATCGGTTGTGAGGGTTTCAGTACTCCTGCAGGTATCACAGATGGGGTATCGGTATAGGGTCGACCCTATCGGTTTTGAAGGTTTTGTGCAACCTCAGAAAGGCCAAGGCGAAGCAAGACTGAATTAGTATTACAATGATGTATGCCAATAATTTTGTCAGTTACTCATATATTGATATACACTATCTATAAACCACATACAAGAGTACCTCCAATTTCCGGGTTTAGGAGTCATAGACCCAGGTACGGTCAGATTATATATCTACCATGCAGTAATCGAGCACGGTTGGGAAATCCTTTTTTTGGAGGCTTTAATGGAAACATATAATAACTAGGAAGAAAACATCCAGACATGGAGGACTTTGCAGCAAACCATGGAATATCGGAGGCTACCTGAGGACCTGGCTTAAGGGGGGCAATGAGAAGTATACAACAGTCTCAGTAGATTCCACAAAATGGATCAACCAATCTGAAAAGTGAAGGCATCATGTACCGTTGTTGGATATAACGTGGAAAACGCATTTGGGGCTAATCTTTTTCCAACATAACATAATCCCATTGCTGCGGGTAGACCCAATCATGAACCTCTATTGGGGATTATTTACTATTGGATTTACCACATTACTGACTTACACCATCTTGGCTTCACGCATTGAGATGGTCCATGGTCGCAAATTGCAAGGCTTAGAACATGTTAGAAACACCTCCCACCCTCTGTTATCCAAACACTTTCATAGAATAAGGCCGCACCATGCACAACTTTTTTTTACATAGACCCAGAGCTCTGGCCCGCATGTTAGCACAGGTATGCACCTGTTCATGTCGTCCCAGCGAGGCGCTGGACCACATTCTGCAAATCGGAGGCTAAAGCCTCGTCAGGTTCCCACGCATGTCGTCCCTGCGTCCCTGGGACCTGCTTGGACCTCCCAACCTGTCAATCCTTGGCTTAATTTGGGGTGAAAGCTACGCACAAAAATATGAATAACTTCCACATGCTCGTTGCTTGTCATTCTGGCAAGCCATGGTGAGGAAAAGAACACGACATTTCAAGAGTTACCAGTTCCCACCATCCCTTCCAACCTCAAAGAAGCCTCTCAGCCGGAAAAGAAACTGGCTGGATGCGAATCAGTTCGCAGCTGTGCAATATATTCCAAACAATCTGCATGCCACCTAGATGGCTTTGCAAGAACTATGGCAACTTATGGATATGAACCAAAAGCCAGGATCCCATAAAAAAACCATTAAAAACCCATAAAGCTGCTATGATAAATCCCATGAAAGTCCAATGGTCCCATATCCCAATAGACCCATCTCGATCCCATCCACCTGATTGGCCAACTTGAAGACCTGCAGCTCTCTTTGGGGATAGCGCAGCAAGAGCCGCACCAAAAAGGCGGCCTGGATCGAGCTCGAGCTCGAAGACACCAGAAATAGGTAATGATACACTTAACAGGTTTAATGATTGAATGAACTACTTAATAATGATAGCTTAAATGGCTTATGGAATTTATTTATGATATCAAACAAAAATACAACCATGTGCGAAGCTCGAACAAAGTCTGTATTTATGATACATTAACCTATATTTATATACATTTTATGGATCTTTATGGGTGGTTATAAACCAGCTTATGACTGGGATGGATGATACTGGTTGGTGACTGGGATTCCCAGCTCATGGGTTATGACAATACCCAGCTCATTGGCTAGTATACAGTAATCCCCAAACATCAACCAATAGGGGTTTAGCAGCGCTCATCTGGAGTTTTCAAAGGTTTTGCCCAGTTGGGGTCCCTCAGCCAGAATACAAGTTGTCCATCACATATTTTCCCCATATCTTCCAGGTGTCCAAGATATTTTCGGGCATCTTTGTGGTGGAAGACCACCCCGCGAATCATCAGCTAGATCTACCCTGGTCTATGTTCCAAGAATTTCAGTGGCTTATTCAATACACAAATGGCTATTGTAAGACTAGCCAGTTGAAATTCGTGGGATGATCCTCCAAATTCTGTATTTTTGTTGCTGGCGTTTTACTCCGCTCTCTTTGGGGGTCGCGAAACTATAGGGGAGAACACGAGAAAATAGTATGATCATCAAGGGTCTATTGAGGATACTGTTTGTCGTAATTGTATGAAAATGGAGATGCACCTGCACAAATATCACAAATAAATAAATACAAATAATTAATAGCAACCACTTCGGGCAGGGTGCACCCACACTTGTACTGTCAATTGTACAATGTGTTTTTTGTTGGCTGTGTATGTGTTTGTGTTGCTTTACGAATGTGGATGTATATTGCATGATATATTTATATAAGTAAACCATGTATACAAACATACATGATTAAACCATCATCGAGCAACACATATATTGGATGCATGTTCCAAACAAAATCAGCTCGGGGTAGGAACCGATGGTCTTAAAAGGCGGCATGACCCACCGATTTGAAGCAAGGCTCTCCACCAGTGGAGAGGAACGGTGCATCAGGTCGTGCTTGATAGTCCTCAAGGAAGGTATGTGCCCCACAAAGCTTTCGGATGCGCAATCTCATGAGCATTCTGCAGCATTCTGATTGAATTTCCCACTTCTGTACCATGTATAAGTGCACCTTTATGTCTGGTGCTTCATTTTTATAATATATATATATATACAATTATCATGATGTCTATAGTCTAGACTAGAGGACCCTGGTGGGCGCCCCAAACTCAACATTGAAGCCCAACAAACCAGAAACAAAATAAAACACATGTTCTTGGAAAGCGACTTTCTCGCTGAGAATTGGCCCATTTAAAATTCCCTGCTCACTATTCTCACTATATTGCCCATTAAAAAAAATGTCAGCCACAGTTCCGCATTGAAGAAGTATGCGTCATTCTGCAGCTCGAACTGTACCATATCTTGACGTCGAACTGAATGTAGATCTACCTGACGTGGATAGCTGGGTATTTAATCCCATTAGCTGCCTATATAATAATATAATATAATATGTATATATTGTATATAAATATATATATTATTGATTGAAGTACCCAACCAGTTTTTACATGTTTTTACATCCTGGTCGTAGAAGCTCATGGCACGTCCATGCTGAGAAAGAATCAAAGGTTGGACCATCCAAAAAACCAAACATCTGCTTTGCTCAGATAATCATGAAGGAAATGATATATACTCCGGTAGGACTTAGATGAACTTAGAAAAATCAAAATTAACGGTTACACCCTCCGGTAGTTAATCAATGATCCTGTGAGCAATCAGCTAACACGAACAGTGTTTACATAAAAATTGTCCAAAACAAACCGTGATCAAGCTATAAATCATGATAAATCATGGATATTGTGATCATTTTCCAGCAACCCAACCAGTGAATATGACTACGACATCGACCACGTTGCTCCACAAATCTGTTCCAATTGAGGATGTTTTGCTGCGACCTGGGCAACTTGAAGCTGGAAACCATGATGGGACAGTGGGTTGTTTCATCGTGTTTCCTACTGAAACGTCTTCGATTTTTTCACAATATTCAATATAATATATGGACTGGACAATTCATGATAATATATGGATAATATATGATAACATGGTAATCCAATACGGACTACATAATATCAACCATCCCAGTTTCCCATCATTTCCAGAGGTATCCCTGGCTGAGATCCCATTGGGATCCAGATCCAGTAACGGATCTACTGTATATCTGGGATGCCTTGCTCACGAAAAGAAAAACAACAGGGGCAACAGCACACATGTACTAAAAATAATAAATGACACCAACAAAAACCTAGAGCGATCTTCAAATGTGATCAAATGTGCATATCAATTTGCCAGGTGTTCTTTTGCTGGAATATATGTTTGATCTTACCCCCACACGCCAGTGATCACATCTTTGGACTTGAACGTTCCGTGCCGCCAACCATTGCCCAGGACAACTAGGGACCAGCAAACCATTATATCATTAGGACGAAATTGTGTTTTGCTGGGATTCCCATGCTACACATTGCTACGCTATGAAACTCATAGTGACTCATAGTTTTAGTTTCAAAGATTCACAGATCGTTGATGTTGGGTGTCTTTCCTTTTTTGCAAAACATGTTTGTTGGCGCATCACTGCGCTAACCATCACCCATGGTGAGATCAAATGGTGCCGTTCTAAGTTACACAGACATTGTTTCCACTTTTATAAAATAAATCAATCGTTTTCAATTTCATAATGTCATTCAAAATATACATTTGACAAATTCCCATGCAAAAAAATACTTGTCATATATATATACACAAATGAAATAATTAGGTTAACCATCTATACGTTAAATCCTACTAAAATATAGAACAAATAAACCGCACCAAAATTGATATTAAATTGTTTTCCGACCTATTTAGTGATTCCAATCTCGCCCACTTCGAAATTTTACAAAGCGTCCCTCATCAACGCTTCGCCGGCCACAAATGGCAGGAAGTTGCCGCGGAGGTCCAAAATTCCTCGGTATTGTTCTCTCCTACCTTTCGGGGGCCCAAGAGATTGAAGTCCAATTGCTGGGTTTGGTTTGGAACATGTTTTCTGGTTGGTGGTTCAACCCCTCTGAACAATATGAAAGTCAGTTGGGATGATTATTCCCAATATATGGAAAAACATGTTCCAAACCACCAACCAGTTTTCAATCTTTGAAGTTGATGAATTCAATGGTTAAGTCGGTTAAGTCATATGGGGCAGGTGCTGGTTTTGCCCGGGGATGTTGGTTCCCACGTCTCTGCAAGACCTGCTTCGTTTCATAACATGAATTCCCCATGCTTCACCATCATCACAGTAAATTGTCCCTTTCCTCCACGACAGTCCATGGCCTGACAATTTGAAATGTGAGGCCATGCCCCGTCAACCTATACAAATCTGGTAAAAAAAATGAGCTCCCAGATTTGCTTGAAAGGAACACTTACACGAAACCCCTATATTTCCTATACTTGGGGGCAAGAACGATGGTTTCCGGCTTCCAGTTAAAAAATCCCAGCGGAACCTATCCAGTAATCATCAAATGTGTGGGCTAAAAGTTGAAAGTTTAAGTTAAAAAAATATAGTTAAAATTAATGTTTTGGTAGTTTCATCCCAATTATTGCCGTTGAAATCCCAATGATTGGGGATTGGCAACCCATTCCCACCGAACAAAATCACGCATCGTAGGCTGGGGTGTTCTCGCACCACTTGCAACAGATCCACCAGGCCGCTTAGATCCTGGGGGGCCCGGATGCCTTGTTTCAATGGAGAACTCACGGTGCAATGATAGCCGTACGACCTCCAAACAAATAGAACAATAAAATCTTGCTGAAATAGAAGTACACATTGTCTTTTTCCCCACCTGCCAGATGAGGGTCCCTAGATTTTATCAGAATTGCTTCCTTCTCCTTCTCCCCCAGCAGCCTCGCATCTCAACTGCGAGTTGTGCACTGTCGGGCCCCAACTGTGAGCTCCACATCTCAGTGGGCACTGCCGGGCCTCAACCGCGAGCGCCAGATCTCACTGGGTCCGGCAGTGCCCATGTCAAAGAGAATGTCAGAATAAATGCCAAATAGAATGCCAGATATGTCAGAATAGATGCCAGAAAGAATGTCAGCATATTGCTTTAAAAAATGCCAGAAAGAATGTCAGAGTGTATGCCAGAAAGAATGTCAAATAGAATGTCAGAATATGATGTGTATCCAATATTATTCAATATATTCTTCCAGATGGTATGTCAGAAACTATTTCAGAATAATGTGTCAGGGTGGGGATCACTCCTATTTCTTTGATTTGCAGTTCCAAGTTTATACAGTTCACCAAAGCGCGTCAAACCCTCGGTGTCATCAAACATGGCCGGAAGATCCCCTATAAATGAAAGTTTTCGTGGGAACATCATCCAGGTTTTCCACCATGTTTTGATTGTCAGAGGGGTTCCAAACCATCCCATGATATCCTGGTGATACGAGTCGTAGTAGCCGCTGGGCGGATTCCGTCGGGAAACGGGCAGCATCTCCTCCTGTGCTGCCATGCTGTGAGATGTTTTGATGGGGGTGATATCATACATATTATTACATGCATATTATATATATATATAAAATCATATAACTATAAAACATTATTGTTATACTATGTTTTACAATTGTATAATTATATAATCATAATTTATCGTCATACATAGATTAATATGGAACATTTAGATAACACCAACAACCACTCAGATGTTATCATCGTTCAAATCAAACCAAGCGAACAAAAACATGAATAGACAATACAGTAAGTTTATCAGGATTGATTGAACTGTTATCTTTGTTGGGGTTGCTATAAGATCTATAAGCTTGCAGTGGAATAGGGCACACATGGGCACACGGCGCATCTATGTCCGTGGGATGATCAACCCGGCTCCTTCGCCACACCCTGGCAAATGACATTGTTCACCTCAGTCCCAGAGGCGCCCCCTGCAATCAGTGCTTTCCAACTGGCCTGTTTTGGCCTGTTTAACCAGTGGATGTTTGATGATTAGTGCAGTATCCTAGACACACCCAACTGTGTTCTTCATGTGTTTGCAAGATACCGTTTCATAACTTCATGTCATTGAGGGTTAAAGCATCCTTTTGAGCTGCACGGCTGGTATGAATTCAAGTTGATACCACACCCACCACATGTGGACTTCTTCCAAAATCACCAAACGTGGGTTTCCGAAACTCCGAAACTTCCATGCCCATGGTTTTAAAACACCGGTTTCACCATGAAATTTGCGATTAATAATCCAACCAATTGGGGGACCATATATGGGCCCGTCTGCCATTTGGACAAATCTATTTCAGAATCTGCGAAGTGACCAGTTCCAAGATCTCCAATGAAACCTCCGGCTTGCGCATGAAGGCAGCAATTGCCCTGGGATCCGAGGTGTGCGGATGTCAATGGGGCTCAGGAAAAATCTATAGCAATCCTCAAACAGATCTGATGTATAGAAAAGTAAAATCCTATACCAAAATAATGGATATCTGATATCTCTCTCCCCATCCCTGGTAGAATCTTAGGACGACCAAGGCACTTGCAGCCTTCAGGGCCGATGTAGTTTTGGTTCAAATAGAGACCTCTCAGGCCTTTCACGTGCCTCAAAAAGACAAAGTGGGGCCGGGAATGATTTCCGAACAGCAGAACCTCTGACTCTAACAAAACCACCCCAAGAGACGGCCACTTTCGGGTCCAAAAAAAGACGACTGTTCGGAAAAATATGGGTTTACACAGAATGTGCCCGTTGTTTCTGCGGGGACTTCACCATTGCCAGCATCGCCGGAAGGTAGACCCAGGCAGTAACTGCCAAGGTACAAGGTTCTGATTGTGGAGATACCACTGGAGGTGAGACCACCTCCCAACCTTGGTCATATCATCCGAGGGTATTCGGATCCATGAGGCATCTGTTATATATATATATATGTGTGTGTATATGCCCAGGACTTCGAAAGATATAGACCCTCGTCTGTTGCCAGGGGGGGGTGAGGCACCTAAAAAATAAAAATAAAATGCAGGGGCCTAAGGAGAAAATGCCAATAAAATGAGAGGGCATAAGGTAAGATAGGAAAACCGAAGCAAAACACAATGGACAGGTACAAAAAGAAAATGACGTCAGGCACCCTCCACCTGGCCACTGTTGGACCTACATTTTGCAACTGTTGGACCTCGGGCTCCGGCATTTTCTTTTGGGTTGATCTTGTTTAGTTTTGTTTCCTTATTTGATTGGTTTTAACCATGTTTAGTCTTGTTAAGTCCTTTACATCGTTTCCTTATTTGATTGGTTGATCTTGTTTAGTTTTGTTTAGTCTTGTTTAGCCGTTTCACGTGCCAACAGGAAGGAAAAATTGCGCGGATTTCGATCAATATAATATATGTATATATATATATATAATGTTGGTTCCACTTCTGACATCTGGATGGTTTCTAGAAAGATACAAATAAATATAAATAAACTTAAGAAATCTCATTGGCTGCTGTAAGCTGCCCGTGTGTCTTTTGTTGACCAAGGAAGGCAATAGAAAATGAGGGGGGCCAACCCATTTTCGAAGTTAATGTCCAAGTAATTCCAAATCTCTGGAATGTTTCACAAAATGATCAGACCGTTCACAGCTGTGCATCTTTGCTATCATGCTATCTCTGTCAGTTAACTTGATGGGTTAGGCACCTCAAAAAATAAAATGCACCCACAAAATAAAATGATGGGGTCTGACCCATTTTATTTTCATTTTATTTATTGTTGTTTTATTTTAAAAGGGGCTTCTGCCCCCTCATTCTATTTAGGTACCTCGATGGGGGGTGATATAGTTAAACCACGAGGTACACGAAAGACACGGTAAGACCACGACGTGCAAACATCGCCAAATTAAGGTATAGATTTTATCATCATAATTCTCATGTTCATGAATTAAAACACATGTTGATCAAGTTTTAAAGTGTATGCTTCACCATCACCATTCTCGTGTCTATACGACCAGACACGCACAGGGTAGCCTTTAGTCACTGTTGGCTCACGGTAAAACCTTGACGCCAATACACAAAATCACGACGTTCAGGGGGGGTCTCACGGTCTCTCACGGTTGTCTCACGGTGTGATCACGGCTGCTAAAACCACCAGCTTCCATACATTTGTGCTAAATTCAGCTAAAGGTGATATCTTTCAGAACATCAGATAACTTTGGAATAGCAGCCAGCATCATGAAATGATGAGTTATTCCTTAGATCATAATATAAGCATGGATTCTGGTAAAACCACGGCGTTGTGATGGATCATAGTTAAACCACGACCAGGAAGTCCTGGGTATGTATAAGTATGGCACTAAATGTTAGAAACCAATATGTTGCGGGTAATATCACATACACGTGGATAATACATATATATATATATACATAATTTAGTTACTGCCAAACCATGCCAAACCAAAATCATTGATTACTTTGGAATTGTGTTTGTTTATCTATTGCAAGCAGCATCTCCAAAACAGTCCCCGCCAAGGCGCTTGAGATGCTCGACGGAGTCGGAGCTGCGAATCATGGAAAGCACCGTCAGAATGTTGGTATCGTTCACCAAATGCCTTGGCGCTCGTTGAAAAAAAGACACCCTCCGGTAAACATACAAAAAACAACTGAAAATGGTCATTTATAGATTTTATAGTTGATTTATCCATTAATAGCCTATTAAGTTTTGTTAGTTTATCAAATGATATATAATGATAATGGGATGGTTTATGATAGTGTGGTAAACCCACGGATAAACCATCCCAGTAATCAACCAAGATTTGAAAAATCATTCCCACTAGGGGTATACGGGGTATGCGGTAGGCATTGGCAGGCACAATACTTTCACTTTCATGTCCTGCGCATGCCCACAAGGGCAACTCGGCGCATCTCCTTCGGTATTGTACAAAGTTTAGACAATGAGTATTGTGATACAAATCAGCTCAAAAGGTCACAGGGACAAGGATGGCAAACTTCAACTCAAAATTACTACTTCGTCAGAATCATCAGAGATCTCAATGGCAGTTGCCTGTGGTATGTTTACTAAGTTTACTTGGTGTCTTCTCACACGCTTAAGGACATATTTCTCAGCTGCCTGGGATGGTTTATGGCATTGGCTTCACCTCAGTTGTCCCTATGCCCTGGACCCGTCCAATTCATCGTTGAGATTCGTTGTGCCGCAATTGTGGTTGCTGGAAAATCCCATATATCTTCAGCCTCTTTCATCTTCTTTGCTGGTTTCCTGATCATCCCGAATCATATGTATATAATAATATGTATGGTATGGCTATGTTATAGCTATATAGATATGATAGTATGCCTATCTTTACATATCTTTACTATCTTTACTCATTTAAACATCTCCAAAAGCATCGCTAGGCAACAAAAAAATATGGCCACTATGGGATTGTTTCAACACCCTGGCGGCCACATTGAACACTGCACCTAGGCCTAGCCACAGAAAGTTGACCGTTTTGGGGTCGCTGGCGTGTCGTCTTGAGCCTGAAGGATCCGAAGGCAGAAGTTTTTGCAGCGACATTGCTGTTTCGGGCCTGAGATTTCTCAGGAAATCTACCAACAAAGTGTCGGACCCGCGTGCATAGGACCTTTTGCATTTGGCCATGGTTCCGAGATTCATCCACTAGTGCATCTACAATCTACAGTACTGTACCCTTCAGAAATGTGACATGTGACCAAATCATACCAAATCGTCCAGTGCGCTTTCCAAGAAGGTCACTTGAAGTTTCTGAAATTACAGTAACCTCAATTCCCTCAAGGATGTCGATGTATGAGCTACTCATACTTGGATGACATATATATATATGTGTATAATTAAAATAATTATACTTAATATCTATGCATATGTATAATTATACTTAATATATACCTATGCATATATATACTATATTTGTATATTATATACGTGTGTGTAAACTGTATCAAACAAATCCTCCAAAATCGCCCGCGAATGGCAGCCACGTGGCCGTGGCGCAGCGCTCGGCCTGCAGTAACCTCCGCTGGGTCCCCCGAATTGGGCCCCGCACCCATCATTGGTCACTGGATTGGTTGGAAAAGCCGCAGGAAACCATGGGGTTTATAATGGTTTACAGTATATACATGTTTACATGTTTTTTTTTTTGTGGGAGTGTCATGTAGGTTTTCCAATGTTTTCCATGTTGTTGCCGTAAACAAATACTGGGAATCAAGGACATCAATTACCTTCCTGATATTAACAGAAACCGTGTTTCTAAATCAGATCATATTTTCCGACGGAGATCATGAGTTTCCCACATCTACCTGTCAAATTACTGGAAGGTAACCAGGTAAAGGATTGGTCTGAGAATCTTGGTCATAAGTAAGTCTTTAGTCTTTAGTGACTTTTAGTGATTTGTGGTTGGGATATCACCATGGGATGAGGGATATCACCCATCATCTTTTTTCGTGCCATAAACAACAAAGCACCAGCATGTCCCTGGTGATTGCAACACACATCCAACTTCCGATGGGTAAACTTGCTGGTAGTTACACAGTGGGCTCTGGCCCCCCAATGACTAAAGTCCACTTGGTGAAACTTCGCGATGAAACTATCCAGAACATGATTGCTATATAACTTGTTGGGTGGTTATTCAAGGATAAAGTAATTGATATGATTGTTAGCTTTAACTAAATCATAATTATAATCTATATATGTATGTATATATACATATATATATATATGTGTGTGTGTTTTATCATTTATTATATTCATATGGTTCAGTCCATTTTTGTGATGGTTCAATCCTCCTTTTCGTTGTGAATTAAACCAGAAAGTTCCACACATAATCCCATCCCTCAAGATTAAACAGCCTCAGAAAACATTATGGGTAAAACAACAATAATATAGTTACCTACTAGTCAAATGTCTTCCAACTATATATATATATAAAGTTTTAATCACGATAGTTAGCCAATGTTAGCCATTAACGCCCTAGTTATTGATGTGTCTTCCACAAGTTTAGCTAGCCATAAACACTGCCACAATATAGTTGCCTATTAGTTACATAAAAATTGTTCCATCTAGTGCCAGTAAAACAGCTATAGCTAGCCATAAACCCCTACTATAGGAGCTATAAACCAACTTAGCTATAGTGCACTAATCCCTCCACAAAATTCCACAAATAAACGGTGCTGGTATGTATTTTTATCTTTCACACAACCCAACATTTTTTTTGGTCCAACTTCCAACAAATACCTGAACATGATGTTCAAAATCCCCAAAACGGAACATTTACCAGCAGATTTGACAAAGACATTTCAGTGGATATAACTAGTTTTAAGCAGCAAAGAAGTTGGTTTCCACAAAAAAAATAGGGATCTCCTATGATGGTTTGTTTCACCCACAAAAATATAGGGATTTCATGGGATATCCCGGATATCTCTAGGGATATCCATGGGATATCCATGGCTCCAAGGCTTCCCCCCCTGGCTCACCGGTGCCATCGGCTCGTCGCTCGAGGACGCCGCCGAGCGCGGGGAGGAGGCCGTGGACGACCGGCTCGGCGACATGGCGTCGGCGCCGGGGTGGAACCTGCGGGCGAAATGAGGAGATTTTGTGTGGGCACATCTTGGGATACCTATATATCAAATATTTATATATCAATATAAGTGTATATCCATATATATATATATGTTTTTATTTATACCTGCATAATCCTACATATATATATATATATATGTGAAAAATTGGTGGATGAATGTTGGAACTGTTGGAATGTGCAATTTGGGATCTTGAGATGATTTGAGTTAATTTTGGGGTGATCTTGTGATGATTTTGGATGATACCGGATATTTTTTGGAACCTTTTAGAGAGTTTTTGCGCACTTGTTGGAGAACTTGTCCGATTCTTTGATATTTGTTGTGATCTTTGAAACTTTGCAATTGTCAAGACCTTCTTTAAACCAATCAATGAAAGTCATGAAGGTCGAACATCACAAATGTTCAGTGAGACACTGGGGACACTGGATGTTTTTGTTTCTCACTTTTTCACATCTTTTCACCATGCCCCAGGCAGAAACACAATCCACCGGGCAGGGCCCCGCGGCCTCCCAAGTTGCAGGAGACATTCGCCCAGCACGCTGCTCCAGCACTGCCCCGAAGCGGCTGTGGCTTGATTCGCCACTGCGAGGTCGCAAAACATCTGGATGCTTTGCTGCCACCAACCTGCGTCACAAGACGGGGCGGGCTAGGTCTAGGTGGTTTTGACCCAAAAGTAGGGATTTCAATACCATATGATATAACAATAAGGATATATAATTATATAATATTATGTATAATAGGGATATAAATGGGTATAATGAATAAGAAATTAATAATATATTTTAATATAATAGGGATTGACTGTAATTCAACAATCAAATTATGCATGGTTTCGGTTTCATTCCCAAAGCGAACAGTTATATAGGATCATCATGCCACGCTTAAAATTGACCAATGATTGGGACCACCACCCACATATAGGAACTTGACTTCCATCCATGAAGAGGATCTGTGTCCAATATGGCCCACTCCACCAAACGGTGCCCAAAGCTATCTGTCATCTCCTGCTACTTGCTGGTTGACAAACATTCCAATAACGATAATGGCGTGATTCATATTAGATATATGATATATCAGTACAAGTATGACATAGAGTAATGTATACGTATTTTACATACATATAATGTACTGTATCTATGTATGTCTGTCTGTCCGTCGGTCCGTCGGTTGGTCGCACTGTCTGCCTGTCTGTCTGCCTGTCTGTCTGTCTATATATGTATGTGTGTGTGCGTACAACCAATATCAACCAATGATGCAACCTTGACATAATATGACACAATCAACCACCCACGCTACAACCATCAAGAAACCAACGCGCCTCGCTCGACGATCTCCCGCGGCTCGTGGGAACAAATCAAGTCGCGGAGTTCTAAAACGAAGTCCTCACCTGCAACGGAAGCAGCACGTCAGAAGGGCCGGGCAAAAATCACCAATCTAGATACAAGGTGGGCCCAAACATTAATTTGGTTTGTAGCTCCAATAAACTATAGGGTTTATGGCTATTGAAACAAGCTATATCAAGATACGATTCATACTCAGACCAGCTTCACAATTCGCGAACCAATCAGCACTGCATATGACTTGTCACTGCACCAGCTGTAGCGTCGTGCGCCAAAGCACTCGACACGTGATATGATTGATACATATTGATACTGTACATATTCTCATGACAAATATTAGACACGAAGAGTTGCCAACATTTTTGTAGCAGGGATTTTTGGTCAATGTTACAACTTGTTGATCTGCTACGCAAGGGAAAAAACAACGATTCAAGTTGATTCAACAAATCAACCGAAACTGTAACCCCAACGGTCCATATTTTGGAGGCGTTGACCAGTGAAATTATGGATTAAACAAAATAGTGAAACATCTGAAATTAAAGTCCTGATGGAGTTCAGGTATGCTTGGGGATCTTGGGGGTACCCAAAGGAGGTAATTAATGGGTATTTAGTTTAGGGATTGCATATAACTTTCAACCCATGAGGTGCGCACGCAGCTGGCGCAAAACAACTCCTCCTGGTTTGGCTTTGTCCAAACATATATGTTGTGTAACGTCAACCCCGGAGGAAAAAAAAACACACAAACTGCTACTCACAGTAATTACAGGGGAGTACCATTTCAGTAGGCAGTTATCACTTATCACCCTCTTGTTTGGGGGAAGACCACAATCAAGCCAAGATCATGGGCGAGTCGCTTTCTTGACATTGCTGGAGGCAGTACTCTGCACAAAGGAACTCCTGCCACGAAGAAAAACTGTGAAGGATCCCAGACCAATTCCGACCGCCGGAAAACCTTGTCCAGTGGTGGGTCTATCCATTTTGGTGGTAGAAAGTTAGAAAGCCTGCATCAAACTTGCCGCTTCAAGTCAACACTAGCAGCCCGCCATGGCCATGGCCCGGGACGCTGAGAACATGTACCCTCTGGTTTTCAAACACAGCGAATGAACATGTCCCACTTGTAGATGATTTTTCATATTAAACATGGTTGGTTTCCAGAGCTATCTGCTCTTTATCTGATAAACATATCAAAACAAAACATTGCATCAAATCATCGTGGGATTTTTGTTGGGGGCCCTCCTGAAAAGTCAAATGGGCGAAGCGGAAGGTATCTTCACCTGGTGCGGGAGGTCGCGAGGTCGTTGATGACGGAGGAAGCTGCAGCCTACTGGGCCTACTGATCCTCTTGCATTGAACAGAATCAAGCAGGGGAAACACATGAATGTTGTCAAAGACCAACCTGATACCATGGCATTTCATCACCATAATTCCTTCAAGCAAGCTTTGAAGAAATGTATTGATGCCATGATGCGATATGGACCTCCAAGCACCCACCTGCCGTTCCAAAAAATAAAACTCTATTTGGGCTCAACGTCTTGCAAAGGTACCACCAAACAAAATGCACATGTCCTGCTTTTTTCTTACAGATGAACATGCATACAGTACATGCAAATGTAGATGTACATATATATATATAATATATATATATATATATTAGTGCGCGGGTTTTTAATAAAAATAACATGTATATATATATATATATATACACATGTAACAATATACACATACACTCTAAACCTCCTCTAGGCCTATGTAAATGCAAACAAACCACTACGTAATTGATGAGTTCATGTGAGTTCAATCCATCCCACTCACATATCAGCTAGCTGGGATCATCATTCCACGCAGGAAACCACCAACCAAGCAACATCCAAAGTAATGTGGCAATGTTGAGGGGTATATTCGGAATAGTGCCAACAAAAAAGAGGTAAAATTGAGTAAATGGGGAAGGGTTCATCATTGGGCTTACAAGATAACACATCAATGAATCACCACTGCATACCCCATTCACAGCTCCATTTATATATCCATTTATAGGGGATATCCATGGATCTCCCATTGCAACAAACCTTGGCGGCTTGGCCACATCCGTGGGAGACCCCCCAGTTGCACAACATCTTCCCAAACCATGCTGGAGGCTCCATCTTCCGAAAACCACGTCAACAGGGGCAAGCGCCCCTTCCTTAGGTCGGTGCGTAATGGTGCAGCCTATCCTGTGAGTCAAAGGGATGGAAAAACGACTTAGGTCTTTTGGGCTATAGGCTATAGGCTATAGGTCAAAACTAGCACCCTGGTCAGCTGGGAAACTGTGTTCAGCCCGAAATCTGTCCAGGGTATTGACCAACCGACATATGGCAACAACCCGCAGCCATAGATAGAACACTTGGACTCCTGGAAATTAGATGATAAATGATGGTAAACATATGTAAACATCATCTGTAACATCCTGGCAAAGCCTTAGAATCTTTGCCGGGGTCCCTACCGCAAGCTGGGACCATGGGAAGCTACTGAGGCGTCGGCTTAATGAGATCTTCCACCTCATTCCTCAGAGCGGCAGCTGGGTTGTCATCTACCTGGGGGGAAGGGTCATGACTGGATGGGAGGAAAAACATAGCTGACCTGCCATAACCTGAAAACAACTCATACTTGTACTTGTACGTGTACGTGTACCTGACTTGTTTATGTTGTTGCTGTTCTTCTTCTTCTTCTCATTCTGTTGTTCCTGTTCCTGTTGTTGTTGCTGTTGCTGTTGCTGTGGCTGTGGTTGTGGCTGTGGTTGTGGTTGTTGCTGTTGTTGTTGTTGTTGTGGTTGTTGTGGTTGTTGTGGTTGTTGTGGTTGTTGTGGTTGTTGTGGTTGTTGTGGTTGTTGTGGTTGTTGTGGTTGTGGTTGTGGTTGTGGTTGTGTTTGTGGTTGTGTTGGTTGTTGTGGTTGTGGTGGTGGTTGTGGTTGTTGTGGTTGTTGTGGTTGTTGTGGTTGTTGTGGTTGTTGTTGTTGTTGTGGTTGTTGTGGTTGTTGTTGTTGTTGTTGTGGTTGTTGTGGTTGTTGTGGTTGTTGTGGTTGTTGTGGTTGTTGTGGTTGTTGTGGTGGTTGTGGTGGTTGTGGTGGTTGTGGTGGTTGTGGTTGTTGTGGTTGTTGTGGTTGTTGTGGTTGTTGTGGTTGTTGTGGTTGTTGTGGTTGTTGTGGTTGTTGTTGTTGTTGTTGTGGTTGTTGTGGTTGTTGTGGTTGTTGTGGTTGTGGTTGTGGTTGTGGTTGTTGTTGTTGTTGTTGTTTCTGCTGTTTTTGCTGTTGTTGGTGTGGCGGTCGTCGTCCTCACCGCCGTCGTCGTTGTTTGTTGTTGTCAAAGCTTGGTAATAGTTTCCCCAGCACATAGCAAGGTAAGAACTCAATGAACCCAACCACCCATCAACCCGCAGACAAAGGTTTGATTCAGCACCCCTATTTTTGCCGTGGGAGCAGGGAGGCACAATCAATCACCAGGATTTGTTGGAACAGGTACATACAAGGCAAGTTACTGCCGTTTGGAAGGGCTACTCCCCATCAACGGGAATACCACTCCAACAAATCCTACACAAATATAGTCTTGTTGAACTGATCCGGTGATGAGAAAAGCCATTCCCCTTTTTTGTGTTTTCCGCTTCTCAAACGTTGCATAGCACTTCAACCCTATCCTGATCGGCACAGAATCCACTGGGTTAACTCAAAGATCACGCCCTTGAGATTGACCTGCCGGATGGCCTCGTCATGGCTGACATTCACAGGTTCCACAGGTTCCATTTCAAACATGGCTGGAAAATCCCCGAACTAAATGGAGGTTTTCATGGGGACATCCCTTATAAAATGGAGGTTGAATTGAGAATAACATCGAACTAGATAGTTGATTTTCCAGCCGGGCAATGTTTGATTACCAGAAGCTACCTATAATAAGGTAAACCCAATGATGAACCTAATGTTGACCTACGATTTACAAACTAACCCTGAATAAAGCTAAAAAAACTCCCAAACTAAATTACTTTACTTCGTGTGATCCCCACCATGACATTTATACATTTTGTTACTGGCAAATCTTCTGGCATTCTATCTGACATATTTTCTGGCATTCGATCTGGCATTCTATCTGGCATATCTTCTGGCATTCTACCTGGCATATCTTCTGGCAGATGTTCTGGCATATCTTCTGGCAGATGTTCAGGCATATCTTCTGGCATATGTTCTGGCATATCTTCTGGCAGATGTTCAGGCATATCTTCTGGCATATCTTCTGGCATATGTTCTGGCATATCTTCTGGCATTCCATCTGGCATTCTATCTAGCATATCTTCTGGCATATTATCTGGCAAATCTGCTGGCATTCTATCTGGCAAACATTCTGGCACTTTATCTGGCATATCTTCTGGCATTCTATCTGACATTCTATCTGGCATACCTTCTGGCATTCTATCTGGCATATCTTCTAACATTCTATCTGGCATATCTTCTGGCACTCTATGTGGCATATCTTTTGGCGTGGATACTCGCGGTTGAGGTCCGGCAGGGAACACTGGGCGTGGATGGTCGTGGTTGAGGTCCGGCAGGGAACACTGGACGGGGATACTCGCGGTTGAGGTCCGGCAGGGAACACTGGGCGTGGATGGTCGTGGTTGAGGTCCGGCAGGGAACACTGGGCGTGGATGGTCGTGGTTGAGGTCCGGCAGGGAACACTGGGCGTGGATGGTCATGGTTGAGGTCCGGCAGGGAACACTGGGCGTGGATGGTCGTGGTTGAGGTCCGGCAGGGAACACTGAGCATGGATGGTCGTGGTTGAGGTCCGACAGAGAACACTGGATCGCGGGTCGCAGTTGGACGAGGAGGACGACGAGGAGGACGACGAGGAGGAGGAGGAGAGGAGGAGCAGGCAACTGACATAAAATCTAACAACCCTCACCTGGCAGGTGGGGAATAATAAACTACCCCTAAATAAAGCCAATTTTTTTTGGCCCTAAACCCAGATTTGCCCAGATGGGGCTGAAACAAATGCTTTATTTGAGGTGGCTTTCATGTACTAATTCATATTGCCAGCTCATTGGATCTTACCTTGATAACTTCAAATTTTCAAAAATAATGGTTGCTCTTTTCTATTCAAAACCTTTATTCAAAATTATCCAAAATCAATCCCAAATCAACTCGTCAAGGGTACCCCCCATGAGGTGCCTCAGCACTAATAAAGCTAAATGGTTTTGGCCCTAAACCCAGATTTGTCCAGATGGGTCTGAAAAAAAATGTCCATGCTTTATTTGAGGTGGCTTTCATGTACTAATTCATATTGCCAGTTCATTAGATCTTACCTTGATAACTTCAAAGTTTCAAAAAATAATGGTTGCTCTTTTCTATTCAAAACCTTTATTCAAAATTATCCAAAATCAATCCCAAATCAACTCATCAAGGGTACCCCCCATGAGGTGCCTTAGCACCAATTAGAGTTTGACCCTGAATAAAGCTACTGAGTTTCCCCCTCCCGCTGATCAAGAAATGAATACTAAATCAATACTAAACCCATGACATGAATGCTAAATCAAGAAATGAATACTAAATCAATACTAAATGCATGAAATGAATACTAAATCAATACTAAATCCATGAAATTAATACTAAACCAATACTAAATCAATACTAAATCCATGACATGAATACTAAATCAATACTAAATCCATGACATGAGTACTAAATCAATACTAAAACAATTGTTGGATTCCTTATTTTTTGGAAACTGGATTTTATATTATCGTTTTAATTTGTGGTAATTGAAAACTAATACATACAAACAAGTTTGATGGTGGCTTTAAATTTATTTACGGGAAAAGAGGAGGTGGACATTACCATTTGGAGACGATTCAAATCCCACCCATATGGCAAGTCAGCGGGGCTGGTTTCTGAAATTGGGCAATTTTTGGGTGACAAGACCCCGCAAGAAAAAGAAGGCTTCTGGAAACCTTTTAAAAGAAATCCGCGCAGCAGGAAGTGTCAAAAACAAAAATATAAATGTAATCTACATATATCTACATAGCTATCTTCATTGAAATTTCGCGGAAAGAAACCACCAACTATCCAAACTTACAATTGAAATCAAGTCTTTTGCACTTGGTGACTCCTCATGTTTGGATCTTGCCCGTTGCTGCAGCCTTGGCACCTTCCCATTTTGGCACTGACAATCCCCAACCACCAATCCTCACCCAAACACTCTTCAATGTAATGTATCTAGCATATGGGACAAGAATTACCCTCTGGTAATTTAACATAGCTATTGAAAATCACCATGTTTATATAATGGGTAAATCAACTATAAATGGGCAATTTTCAATAGCTGTGTTAGTTTACCAGAGGGTATTTGCAAACAAAATACTAAATACTGGTTCAAAGCCTCAAATGGGTTCCTGAGACACCATGAGACATCCTCACCAATCAAGAGGACACCTGATTGAAACCATCAAGCAAAGCATTATCTGAAAGAATATATATATATAATATATATATATATACATGTAGGTATACTTTCATTATACTCGATTCTGGGTACTAGATTGGCCATAGACTATAACCCATCTACCACACAGAGTTCAACAAAAAGGCTTTCCACACCAGTGTACATCAGTCAACTAGTTCCATCGCCCATCAAAGTAATATAGGTGATAGATGTATGATGTATAGATAGATCTATCAGATGATCTAAATATAGAGGTGAATTTGGATTAGGCGACCGATTTTGAACCCCGAACTTTGCTCATTTTTGGCTTATTCCCATCCCCAGTGCGCCACCTTGTGCACCAGCTCCCGCCGGAAGTCTCGCACCCCACGGCCACTCCGCTGGGAGTGCGCCAGGAAGGCAATACCTTGGCGAAGCGAAGTGGAGTCGGGATGCCCTGGAGCTTTCGAAAACAAGTGGCATATCAATGTATAGTGCACCATACGCGTAGATGTATATGTGTATATTGAATACAATATGTGCTTTAGTAACTTTAGTTGTAAACTCAATTTGTAAAATATTTCAGGGTTTAAGGGATCATGTTCGAAACATATGTTTGTTCCAAGTGGGTTTGCCTGCATTATCCGGCAGGCATAGCATACCATCATTCTGACATTGGCCTTACACCTTGGAGTAGGACACCCCCAACTGCAGGGATGAACATATGGAACTTGGGGGAAACCAATGTTAAGAAACCTCTATGTTGAACAACTATGTTACTTTACAAGCCTTAAAAGTAAGACATTGCTTGGATCCCCAGCACCTGTGATTGAGGTCATTTCAGGTCGGGATCATTTGTACAAAAAGCAGCGTCTGCAAGTAATAAAATAGAGTAAATCGGTTGTGGTTTGTTGGTGGGGTTTGTAACCTTTTAACAGATACTCAAAACTATCAAGACCCTAGCGTTGACACATACATATATTTATATGGCATGTATTTATCTATCTATTATATATAAATAAAAATCATATTGGTTGTATATACATATATACATATAAATATATAATATATACATATTGTGTGAATGTATTAAAGATATTTAAAGTAGTTTAAAGGTACTTTTTAGTGTTTCGTATGTTCCATTAATCACAATTGCCATCCAGGCACTCTTTAAGACCTCCCGTAAGCCGCTGACCAAACATCCAGGGCCTCCCGGATAGCCTGTGGCCGCGCTGGCTGAGGTAACAGAAGTCAAGCATGGGGGTTGAACCCATATATGTAGTTTCATACATACATATATATATATATACATATTATGGAGGTTTATAGGGATATCTAATGAATTTTAATGATAATTCGGTAATCACATATGGTTACATATATAGATTACCCACATTGTATAACTTTGCTTTTGAAAAAGACTCCTGCAACAGCATGGCTGCCCTTCGTCTGCCGGCCCCACCCGAAGCGTGGACGGCTTTGGCCCGCTCCAAATTGCTCAGCATGCCGTCCAAAGCAAGGCCATAGACCTTGCCTGACCAGGAAACAGTTGGACAACATGAGCCTATTGAAGATTTTCATGTATAGCTACAGCTATCTTTGCAATCTATTCTTTGACACACATAATTAAACTGGATAAAATTACAGATTGCAATTTAATGAATCGGTGATGGGATCAATCATGGATTCATAGGGTACTGTATCTCATTTCGTCGAGTATATCCAAACAAATAGTGTCCCGTTTCATCTCTCTCTATTTAATAACTGTATATGATGGGAAATTACTGTAACAAAATCGATGGCATAGAAAAAAATACCACGTAACATTGGGTCAAAGAAATCAACATCTTGGCGATGCTGGATGGCACTGAGAGACTCACACTTTTGCACACAAGAGATGGAATGGATGTCATTCAAAAGAGGATTGATGGGTGCGATTTTGCACGGCATGCAAGTCTGGCCCAAACAAAAAACACAAATGGGCTTGGTTGACAGGACCCACCGGATGCCACAACATGTCATCAATAGAACTTGTTGGGAAAGCAACTGGCGTGAGATCAGTCTCACAATACACACGTGTCACGTGACACTATCTTTGATCATGTCCCTTCTGATTCATTTCAAGTTTGAAGTGAAACTACGATAAAATACGAGTAGCAGTGCAAAAGGTGGTTCTTTTGTTATGGCTGCTGCTGATGATGATGATGATGATGATGACGGTTATGGTTATCATCATCAGCATCATGATGTTGAATATTTACGTGATTGTTCATGATTGCATCCTACAAGTAAGTGTAATTTCACGATATAAACGTGAACACCCCGTGCTCGCCTCGATTCAACGAAGCGCCCAACTCGCGTTCCGCCGTGGTCTCGTAGACGGACAGCGTCACGTTCAACAGTAGAGGATTCCTCTAAGGGTTTGCATGGTGAACCCCAAGGCGGCAACCTGACATAGGCCACATAAGTAATCCCAATAGCCAATATTGGAGGAAGTTGTGGTAATTGGATGAAAAAAAGATTGCTTTAAGTGAAAACCGTGTCAATTGGGATGATCGTTTCAAGTGTACCAAGGGACGAAAGCAAGTCCTGATTTTGCTGATGTTGCGCAAGTCAGACATTAAAATTCCTCAATTCTCTTGGCCAACGCCGAATTTACATGACTTGAAACCGTCATTTCGTTGGACATATTGAGACCATTTCAAACCATGCTTTTTCAAACATGTACGTGTCTGTTTTTTTTTGCAGCTGCCACCGCCAAAAAGTAGTTTACACTTATGGTGACCACATTTATTGCCACCATTTCATGATGGCCTGGTCATGGCACAGAGGGCTGGATTCAACGTGAGCTGATTGCAGAAGGCCTCGACCTGCCCGGGGCCGATGTGATGAAACGTGGATTCCAATGGATCAATGAAACATGGCGGTATAGCATGGTCTAATCCACAGGAATTGAGATAAAACATTATAAAACATGATGAAAACAAGAAAACATAATTGGAGATTTGATGAGATATGATGATATGACCAACTTTGATGATCAATGGATTGGTGATGGGAAAATCATAGTAGGAAACTAGAAACTGATTGGATTTTACCCTCGAATTGATTGGTATATATAATTCAGTTAAGATGTTCCCTTAAGACTGGGGGAGATGTGGTGGAAAATCAGGGGCTTCACCAGCCAAAAATGGGAAGCTAAACAAGAACATGCAAGAGCCAAAGCACGAAGTGGATCCCAACCAACACCAACAATGGATATCACATGATATACCCAACAAAAGCGCGGGAACTAAGCAATTGACATGGGTGGGTGATTGCAAAAAAAAAACATGGTGGTTCAAGCACTTTATAAATTGTAACCAACAACACCGGGGTTAAAACCAACGAAAGCCAGGAGATTGTCAGCAGAAATGGGGATATGCTGCAACCAACACAACTGTGCATAATCAAACACAGTGAAGACCCAAGGAACCTTAACCAGCAAAAGCGGAGGTTCAACCAAAACAGATTCAAGCAGATGCGATGGTGAGTAATATTTAATATGTATATATGTATGTGTATCTATATATTTATATATATATATATATATATATATATATTTATGGGATACCGAACCTTGACCCAAAGTTTATTTGAAAGCGGGCCAAAACATGGAAACAGCACCTGGGCTGCTTTTCATTCTTAACATGTTTCAAAATCAGGACTTCAGTGATCCAGCCATTTAGGGCCGTCAGGGTATCCCAGACACTGCTAAGGAGACAAATCTAACGTGTGTGTATCTCCAACATATTGAACTACGTCAATATCTGGCTGGTCAGTCAATTTGGATCATCATCCTCATACAAAATGATACGGTGGAAGATGATCAACGTTGCAACCACAAACCAGATATGCGTTCACCCTGAATCACGACGGCAAAAAACATACTCTGCTTATCTCATCTTATCTCTACATCCTTGTAGACATTTGTATAATTGTGTGATTTTGTATGCATATAAGGAATCAACATGAATCAACGTATCGGTTGAATGTGGAAAGTCTATGAAAGTCTGGACTCTGGACACTGAAACTCAGGATCAGGATCCGCAAAGATCAGCTATCGGCTAAATGTCCTGGGATCCCCTGGGATCACACGTAACACGTGACACGTTTTCGCCATGCAACCTGCATTTCATATCATATCTGAATCAGATTTTAAATCCATTTCACTCTTTGTATCTTAGATAAACACAGACTTACCTACTCAACCACTATGCCGTGAAATGGAAATAACATGACATGGATACATACTCAGCCATAATTTCTTGACCTAAGCATTAAGCCATGAATCATATTATATAAATCTACATCTAAAACAAGCTTTAAGCGAGGTTAACGGTGATTAACGGGTTCCTGTCTTATCATCTATTGTCACCATCCCCAAGTCATCACGATTTTTATGGCTGCTATATAAATCCTGCATCCCCAAACGGGAGTTGTTTATGACATTGGGCTTCCCACATTGGGATGATTGGGGTTATTATGGATTATGAAAATAACTCTGGGTTTGCGGTTTATCGATGATTAAACCCCAATGATTGCCCAAGAATGTTGGTTTCTAAACTAAATCCACCTCTTCTCCACGCGACACAGGCGACACATTTCGCCTCTCCATCCTTCAATCGTCGTTGGATCACTTGCCGCCGCTGTGCTTCGTTGAGTTCCTTCACCCTGGGCCGAGCTGCAGATAGGCACGAAGGCTTCAACGAACAACCTTAGGGGCTTGAACTGCAAATATGGCAAGAACGGTCATAACTTTGTTCTGACTTTATATATCATGGAAAACATATGGAAAAATCATATGAATCACGGTCAAATGATATGACTTTATTGTGTCTCACATCTGTCTGATTGTTACATTGATAATATTCTGGAGGGCTTTGACACCTTTCATAGACGTGAGGCAGGTGCCCACTTCTATCCTTTTGGCATGCTAAGCATGCAAACTCCGTACAGCCGGACACATGACACCTCACGCTTCGAAAGCGGTCGAAATCTTTTCCATTGTGGAGACCACTCATTTCTCGACTGGTGACCTTAGCGTTGATCCAAAGGATAGGTTGAGAACAAGATCCGGAACTGAAAGTTCTAAGGAATTCAACGTGCAGAATAGGATGAACAAAGCATGAGTAAGTGTCAAACATTGCAAAACATCCTATATATTAAAAAAAACACACAACAACGTATATAAAATTGCTGAGATTGATTGATGTTCATCACATCTCATATCCTTAAAATCTGGGATTTCATAGGCCAAATCCCTGCGCCTTCCCTGCGGTTTCCTGTTCCAACATGGCAAAATTGTATGTATTTGTGTATGTGTATGTACCACTTGGGGTTGTCTCAAAAAGACACCCAAACAAAAATATTAATCCAAAAATCATGCAAAATCAGGGGCCTTCCGGGGGAATTTTGAGACTAACCCTCCCAGGTGTTTTGAGAAGCATCCCAACTCTGGCAGTTGAGCTCAGAAGCCAGGAGAAACACCTGATTGTTCAACTTGCTGGAAATTTCTTTCGCCAGGTCTCCTCGTGCATACGGTGCGAACAAAAAATCTGGTTGGTGCTCAAAACCCCATCAGAGGACATGAGTCATCGGGGAAAATGATTCGGGATGCAAGACTTGAAAATTCAAACTCACCATCCGAATTCTGGTTTCTTCGGTGATATCTGATGCTGTAAACCCGAACACCAACGTTTCTTTAGCGGCGTTTCCGGGAAAAGAAACAAACAGTCAAGACGCCTCACGACTGGGTTTCTGATTTTGGTTTAAGACACTGCATTGTTCTTTTTCAAATATCGACATTTTTGGCCGGCAAATCCCCAAGATCCCCAAGCACCAACAACAAAAAAACTGAGTTGAGAGTCTCTCCAAAAAGCCAGCTTCGTCAAAGCCTTGCGTCAGAGGAAACGCTTTTGAAACCCCCATGGCAGTGTTGGGGTGGTTCAAGGGAAGTTGTGTTTCCACAGGTTCCAACATGGTGGAAAGACGCTACTGCTACTCTTTTCTGCCGAGACTCTAGAAACAAACGTGACACTCCAAGCTGGAATATAGAGATAGGCATCGCGGACGAAATCATCTTTCAAGTTGTTTCAGGTTTCCATCTGGCAGAGAAAAAATCCATTTATTGGGAGTTTCCCGGCCCTATTATATGTCTTTCAAAAAAACAATTTAAATCATATGAATTCACTTTGAGGCTCACAGTGGACCAACCCATCCACCGAGCCACCATCCAAGATCAGCAGCAGCCGTCCGTGTTGCCGCGCCAAGTCGATGAGCTCCCAATGGCACTCCTACAACGTGGGCCCCCAGATGGGAGTTGTTTTATAACCCCCATTAACTATATATAATTGGACAATTAACTATAGAATACTATTTTTTTGATACCTAGGATGTCACTATAACTATAACATACTATAACTATTGATATTGCTTTAAGAAGTACCAATGGTTATTGGAGTTATAATCCAACTTAGCTATCGTTTGGGGGCCCCACATTGGGCCCGGGGGTCGGGGATTCCACCCAGAGTTGTTATTGACAGCTGGACACACTTAGCATCGGGGTTGGAAGATTAGTGAAACTACTAAAAATGGGTGATTAGTTCAGGGTCTATGTTAATTTACCAGAGGCTATTATGGTTTTTCTATGGTTATCGCTTACGAAAATAGCAATGATGGTTACTAATGATAGTTAATAATGACAATTAATAATGATAGTAATAGCAATTGATGGCTATTGCTGGTTATTAACCGTTTTTAAGGGAATGAGTCGGAATGAGGTTCTTTTTCTGGTTATTGATAATGAGAAATTATTAATCCTTAATAGTGATAGTTCATATAATGGTGTTTAATGACATGATGATGATTATATAGTTAATGCTAATACTGCTAGTAGTGTGGTACACCTATGCCATAAACCTGTCCTTTGGGGATGAGGGGATGATAGTTACCACCTATCATTGATGGTGATAGTCTCCACATTAGGATATAGCTTATCTTGGTTCAAGAGCTATACTCTGTAGGGCGCCTAGAGGGTATATACGTATATATATTTATACATATAGTTTCGGCATCTATTTACAACATACATGAACTATGTCTGATCTTGTGTAAACAAGATCTTACGGACACATATTGCGTAAAACGAGATCTTTAATCTTGAATACATGATAAGTAATACATAAATGTAATGCATATGTAATACATATGCAGCTGCAAATGTGTGCACAAATGTCTACATGGATATATGTATATGATCATGTCCGCCTGTACTCTACAGAAACCTGGCCCACATAGCTCTTGAATTAAGATAAGATATAGCGCGAAAAAAATGGGATACAGTAGAATGGTTAATTGGCATGTCACGGGATACAATGGGCAATAAATGGCTGATACAAGTATCGCATCACTCCTTCTTGGGCATTCAATGGGATACACTGGTTAGTTAACACATGCTAACAGTTAACATAGCTATGTAAAAGAGACCGGATTTGCTGAAGCCCAGCACTTTTAGTGGTCACTAATTATCGGAAGCTGACAGGAATGGCGGTACTGGAAGGGGCCCGTCCAGGACGGTGCCATGACTCCCTGCTACCGGAGTGATGACCATCTCTCAGCACTCAGAGGTCCGTAATTACACAGCTTTTGACCATGGCAGAAACAGTGCAGATGAATGTTGAGTATGACTATATCTAGGATGGTTGGATATACATGTGGATGCTGTTCTGTTTGTTGGTTTATAATATGCAACTCCATCTATAAATTTAACCTACACCATAAATCGGTGTGTTAGCAGGCATAGTTGTAAACTAAATAAAACAATTAGCAATGAAGGACTTGGAGATACAACTAGAAGCTAAAATTATTCCTTTTGTTTTAAGGGAACTGCAATAAAGGTTAAACCCCCTGCTTTCCCAATATTTGGTCAGCCTTTAAGGTGAAATGAGCCAATGGCGCCTTCCTTCCATGCCAATATTTGCTCATTTCTGGCACTCATGAGAGCAACTACTGCATAATTGGATACGCAAGAGTTGCTCAAATTCTGCTTGAAAGCGCGCTCCCCACTCCCCACTCCCCAATACAAAACAAAGGTTTCGGAGTGAGCATTCAAACATTGGGAGTAAGGGATAATGATAATAGTTATGGTTCATGATCATTGCTAGTAGTGTTGTTCTTGTGAACATTGGGATGGTTATGACTATGATTGTTATAATTATTGGAGATTATATGTGCAAGATACCTGAGTCAATTCCGTCACGTTAAATCATATCATGTTGAATCATGTGAAATCTCGATGTTCGGTGGTTGAATCCTATTTCTCACTTGTTTCCATTCTTCATGGGACAACTTTCACGCGCTATGTGTGCCACGCATTCGTTCGCTGAGACTGGTCAGACTGGTCCTTGTACATCATTGCCAGGTACTGCATCACCTGGACATAGGGTCAAAAATCAGGGTGGAACAAACAAAAAACATATCTGTTTATGACAAATTTGTAGATGACCCTACCACATTTTGTGGATGCCCGTTATATATATATAGATATACTAATATATATATATTTATTTATTTATTCATTTATATATATATATATACACACGTGTATATATATTTATGATTTTACCAACATTTGGTCAATAAATTCAACGGTATGTAGCTGTTTATTACATATTTATAGATACTTGATTCTACCAAATTGTGTGAGTTCAAGACGATGGTATTCATATATGTATTCATATAGAACATTTATCTGTGAACAGATCATGTTGCAAATAAAACATAGATTATCCAATGTCGGGTTAGATTGCCCGGCAACCTGCAGTTGTACTTGTGGCTGCGCATGAGTTTGCTGATGTTTGCTGTGATTCTTTGTGTGACTTCTGCACACCCATGACGGACACTTACACTTTGGTGGCACACCCGATGTAGCGAGCATTCCGGCTGTTCCAACAAAGCAGCGATATAGCAACGATATAATTGGGACAGTCAGGAGAGGGACCAACTGTAGGGAGTCATCATAGATTGTGGCGGATTACAAAATCAGTTGAGCATCCAGACATCTCAGCTGACTGCGCAGCGTCACCCTTTGGTGATCATTGGTGTATGATAAATATCTAGGTTCTATTCACCTCTTGGAAAGGGATCATTCTAATATTGCAATATGACAATATATATATATATACCCTCTGGTAATTTAACATAACTATGGAAAATCACCATTTTCAATGGGAAAATCCACTATAAATGGCCATTTTCAATAGCTATTTTGACATAACCAGAGGGTATATTTAAAGGACCAGTAGAACCAGCTGCGCACCGAGGTGCCAAATTGTCGTGGTCGAGCTGGTCGTGACTCCGCACCAAGTCCTTGGCCGAGTTTCGAGGAGTTTTTTCCAACAAAACCAATAAGATGCTTGATAATGTTAAGTAATTAGAAGTAAAGACTATAGTTGATCATTTTACAAGATAACAAAAGTGTGAGAGAATGTAACCAACACTGGAGAAATACACTGGAGAAATATCACATCCCTATAGGAAAGTCAATTGGTTTTATAATTGGTACACCTTTATTTACATCACTTTACAACGTGGCTGGGCTGCTATACCATGGATGATATACCATGATATATATATATATTACAGTGGGCTGCTTGAACCGATTGTTGATGCCATCCAGTTTCAGTGAGTTCCAGTAAACTGCATGAGTTCACTGAAGCAGGATACACCGACTGGTAAATGGTGGCATGAATATCAATTGCTCCAAACACGTTTGTTTTCCAGAATGTTCCAAGTGAGCAACGTTTACACTTTGTTATTCTCTACAGTCCCTACCCTACCCCCCTTGGCTACGAAGTTAGGTATTAGTAAGTGATACCTGGGTCATAGTCATACCAATCACGAATCGAATCTTGTATTCCTCCACTCAGAAATCCTTTATAGCACATCACACCCAGTTCCTACATCGCTCAGTGGCAATGGTGCGCACCATCACCGGAACCAGCCATTTGTCGTCACTTCGCCTACAATCCGCTGTGCCATGCGAGTGGTTGGCTGAGTTGGCATCCATCAGCACCATTCGCGAGTTGGATTGTGCATCCTTGAGATCGAATATTTGGATTTAGGATCATATATAAATAGATAATGTGAAGGGACTGAACGCCATTTGAGGAACCGCTGGAGCAAGCATGAGCAGCTTGCTAAGTCATTTTTGCAGGAACCTAGCCCACTCATAGATAATGATTAGTTGGGAAAAGAAACATACAGTAGCTGATATTATCCTTGAACATATATAATTAAGGGCTTATGTAATCATAAAGTCGTTTAACGAAAAGAACTATGGATCCACGACAGGGCCATTCCCATGGCGCATTTCCTAACCCTGGCCGCACTGCATCGCGCTGCGGGCATGGCGCATGATCCATGTGAGGAGCTGCTTGGCGAAGGTGGTCTTGCCACCTGCAGGGTCGCCCTTCACCAGCAACCTCGGTGCGCTCGAAGGGGACCTGGAATGATTGGGAGGCGGAAACCCCAAGGGGAGCTCCGTGTTGCGGCGGTTGCTTCTTTTCGTCGAAAAGAGGTAAGTTGGTTGCAATCATTCAGAAATATGGTGATTTATGGGACATATGCAAAATACATCTATGGTTGGATGGGTTTACGATGTAATGTTGGTTCCTGATTAGTGTGTGCCCCCCCCCCCCTCCCCTAAACTATTTCTGGACTCTCTTTAAAGTAGAAAAGCAAAAAATTCTTCCCAAAAGAAAAACATATCCTCGATTAAGTAAGGATTTCAATTGGCTACAATCGAAATCTAATTAAGATTGTTTTTTTTGCCGATGAAGTTGTGGTATTTGTAGTACTTGTAGACTTGTAGTACTTGTAGTACATGTAGTACTTGTAGTACTTGTAGTACTTGTAGTACTTGTAGTACTTGTAGTACTGTAGTACTTGTAGTACTTGTAGTACTTGTAGTACTTGTAGTACTTGTAGTACTTGTAGTACTTGTAGTACTTGTAGTACTTGTAGTACTTGTAGTACTTGTAGTACTTGTAGTACTTGTAGTACTTGTAGTACTTGTAGTACTTGTAGTACTTGTAGTACTTGTAGTAATTGTAGTACTTGTAGTACTTGTAGTACTTGTAGTACTTGTAGTACTTGTAGTACTTGTAGTACTTGTAGTACTTGTAGTACTTGTAGTACTTGTAGTACTTGTAGTACTTGTAGTACTTGTAGTACTTGTAGTACTTGTAGTACTTGTAGTACTTGTAGTACTTGTAGTACTTGTAGTACTTGTAGTACTTGTAGTACTTGTAGTACTTGTAGTACTTGTAGTACTTGTAGTACTTGTAGTACTTGTAGTACTTGTAGTACTTGTAGTACTTGTAGTACTTGCTTGTAGTTACTTGTAGTACTTGTAGTACTTGTAGTACTTGTAGTACTTGTAGTACTAGTGGAAAAGCTGTTCTTTAATAAGGGTTCAATATCCTTTGGGAAAGGCTTGGAGTTTGAATTTGGCAATTTTGGAACAGGCTTGCTTCCCTTCTGGGCTTCCAGGGGCTGCTCTGGCACAGCTTGCTGCAATAGTGAACCCAGCAAACAAACCTACTAAAGTGAAATGGAGCCTCTCCTGGTCCAGGGCCTTGGAAAATTGTGGAAAAGCTGTTCTTTAATAAGGGTTTAATAAGGGATTGGTTCTTTTGGGAAAGGCTTGGAGTTTGAATTTGGCAATTTTGGAAAAGGCTTGCTTCCCTTCTGGGCTTCCAGGGGCTGCTCTGGCACAGCTTGCTGCAATAGTGAACCCAGCAAACAAACCTACTAAAGTGAAATGGAGCCTCTCCTGGTCCAGGGCCTTGGAAAATTGTGGAAAAGCTGTTCTTTAATAAGGGTTTAATAAGGGATTGGTTCTTTTGGGAAAGGCTTGGAGTTTGAATTTGGCAATTTTGGAAAAGGCTTGCTTCCCTTCTGGGCTTCCAGGGGCTGCTCTGGCACAGCTTGCTGCAATAGTGAACCCAGCAAACAAACCTACTAAAGTGAAATGGAGCCTCTCCTGGCCCAGGGCCTTGGAAAATTGTGGAAAAGCTGTTCTTTAATAAGGGTTTAATAAGGGATTGGCTCCTTTGGGAAAGGCTTGGAGTTTGAATTTGGCAATTTTGGAAAAGGCTTGCTTCCCTTCTGGGCTTCCAGGGGCTGCTCTGGCACAGCTTGCTGCAATAGTGAACCCAGCAAACAAACCTACTAAAGTGAAATGGAGCCTCTCCTGGTCCAGGGCCTTGGAAAATTGTGGAAAAGCTGTTCTTTAATAAGGGTTTAATAAGGGATTGGTTCTTTTGGGAAAGGCTTGGGGTTTGAATTTGGCAATTTTGGCAAGGGCTTGCTTCCCTTCTAGGCTTCCAGGAGCTGCTCTGGCACAGCTTGCTGCAATAGTGAACCCAGCAAACAAACCTACCTTGACTGAGCTACAGCGTTTTTGAGAAAAAATGCGTCTCAGCAATTACAGTTTTTTTTTGCAAAAAAAAGGGCTCTCCCAATTTTGTTTTGCCACAAAAGCGAACCCTCCAAACAATACATGAGTTTCAGAATAATTTGGAAAAAAATTGCCACAATAGCGACCCTAGGTACTAATCAGGACCCAACATTAAGCCAACTTGTACCTGGGGGGGGGCCTATCACGTAGCCCAGTTTTTAACCCTTCAACTAAGGCTGTTGCTTGGTGGTTCATCCAATTGGTAAATGGGTTGTGCTCATAAGCTGGACAACAAGGGGCTACAGTAGTATGAATAGTCCACTTCCAACCGGGTGTGTAACCTACATACGTTCCTCGGATACATATCTTGGATGACTAAGGTAGACTCACCAACAATGCTGCGGATGGAATGGGGTCCCCCAGGCTCTACAAGGTCAGGCCCCCAGTTCTACGCTGGTTTATGAACACCCTTAAGTATCTTAAGTAATTATAGTCAATTAATATCCCCTAAACGCATCTAAACGCAAGTTTATCACATTATAAATCAACTTAGCCATCTAGGGGGTCTCACAAAAAGTATCTTCAGGCCCCGCTGCTCTTCCCGTGTTTGGCCCCGAAACTGACGGGTTTGGAGCTGATCACGTCGTCGATCCTTCACGATGAAGACTTTGCTCACGGACTTCCCAGCCTCAGTGCCGACGGATGATTGGGGAGATAGGAACCCATTTCATCAACCAATTGGTTTAACCCTACCAGTGCTGAAGCATTGCTTGAAGCAATTGGTTTCAACATGTTTAACAGCTACAACACGTCCCCTTTGAGGGTTGATGCTAGGTCTAGCTAGATAAACCTGCTACTTGAGGTGCGGTTGGGGTTATTAACAAACATCACCACTGCAATTGGCAATAAATTGGCAACAACTTACATAATATCATCGTAATATCACTTTACATCATATATCATCCCTATATCATCCCTATAATAACTATGGTTAGAAATAAACTCCAACTTGACCCCAAGTAGGATCACAGAAAAACCCTCCTTCAGGAGGATTTATCAGGATGATTCAGGATCACCGAAACGCGCCTCCTTCACAATCTTGGTGTACTGGAAATCCTGAGGAAAAGTGACAGCTGTCCACAGCAAAAAACTGTGAAAGAACCAAGGCTCTCCCATGTTGAATGATATCATTAATGCCAAATTATCATGAATTATCATGAATTATCATGAATTATCATGCATTTTCATGAATTATCATGAACTATCAATGCAGTTATTGAATGTTACTACACTATTGCACTAGGTATATATTTCACGTTGTTGCAGATTTTGCTTGCAGCAACCACCTATAGTCTAATTTCGGAACCGACACCAGGCACCAATTTTTGACAAACTGAAGTACAGCTCCTTTGGCCATCTGGTGGCTACATCTGCAATCCCTGTGACCATTGCTCTAGTGGGCATTACCATCTATATGCACATGCTATAAGTGTATATATCAACTTCTCGATTCACATATATGACTCACAACAATGACACATACATCATATATTCAAATACATCATACATCATATATGTATCTTAAAAATGTGCTATAATAATGTAAACATAAGACCCTAATTATACCAGCTTTGTTCGGAAAGTCACAAAGAACTGCTGCCACAGCGTCATAGGTAACCTGGCCGTGTTCGTCCTCGCGGTTCACACGATGAATCATTCCCTGCTGAACCTCCTCATCTAAAACGGTCCAAGCGGGCATACCTTGCCTTAGTGGCATGATCCTGTTGCTGAATAAAAATGGGGATTGAACATTGTAACATGATTAAACCATGGATTTAAGCAAATCAACCAGGGAAAGTAATGACTTGACCTACTTATAACAAAGCAAATTATGGGATTTGGCCGGATTTTGCCAAGAGTGATGAAGCATGGATTCATATGATGGTTATCAATGAATGAATTGATTTAAGTGAAATTTCATGAATTTTCTTATGCAGAAACGATTGAAATTATACCTCCAAAAAACTTTGGTTTTCCTGCAGATTTTCCCTTCATCCAGTTCTAGGATTATAAATGGTTCGCAAATGGGTTATTGGTATGGCATGATCCCTTAACCGGCACAATATGCCGAAAGGGATGCAACAGGGTTATTACATGTTATAGCTCCACAGATCAGTTCTTTTTGCCCACTCACCTGCCTTTACCTAGATAACTTCCAAGATCATCCAAGAATTATCCATGGTCTTTTTTAATTCTGGGAATGAAATGACTTCCAACCATCAAAAAGGACAATGTCGAAATGAAGCCATCACGATCCAGGCCGGTAGAGGTAGCAACGCGCCCAAGTCACCAGAGTTCCTTCGCGAAATCCTTGGGGCATGGCAGTGACCATGGTAGAAACCAGCAAGGAGAATCACCCCAACCGATTGAGTAAATCATTGAGAGCGCATACACAGCAACGTGGGTAGCTATACATGTGTATACATACGTATATGCATATACACACACATATATATATATATATGCATACAATATATATAAATATTGTAGACAAGTACATGTCCTGTATACATAGCCATGCATTTAGATGTATTTAATCATACACGCACACACATGTATGTATTATGTTATCCGTGGAAAATTCCATGGTGACGAATGGACCCCCGCCCGTCTCGCAGTGTGCCCAGCATCTGCAATGACTTCCCGGTAGGCGTCTGTGTCGCCCACCTGATGGTTGGTGTGGCCAATGCATCCGTCGGACCGGGGAGAGTGGTGGAACCCCAAGAAGTCTCGGCCAGAAATAGAGAAGTAAACGAGTATAGAAATGTATGGAGATATACGGAGTATAGATTCAAAATTCAACAATCAAAGAAACTGAGTAAGGATTTGTTTACAATGTTTACATGTAAGGATTTGTTTACAGCCAAATGGCCACTATTCATCAACAAACACTCATACACAGCATTTGGTGAGCCAAACATGGTGATGAAGTACATGATTTAGAAATGCATAGATTCAGTGTGAGTCTAGAATGGTTGATTGTTGGGTCTGCCACACTTATTCTTTAATATCAATCACGTGAGGCTTATCGGCCTACAGATCCGGGGTCGGGGCTGGTGTTACTGAATGGTGATGTCACGTGTTTCAAACAATGGAAAGCCAATCTATCATCACCACCACCACCATCATCATCATCAGCATCATCATCATCATCATCAGCATCATCATCATCATCATCATTATCATCATCATCATCATAGGGAGCTATTGGTGGGAAAAAGAACGAAACCACTTTTTTCAGAAACAGCTTCGAAAACTGTCGCTGGGTAGCAACCCTGATGGCATCACCGCGATCCCCACCAATTATACAGAGTAGGTGCCTCAATCCTCACAACCTAATCACCACAAACTAGATAGTTGGGGTTCATTTACCAACAGCATGGTACAATTAAACATCTGTGATCGATTCATATCAAGTCAACCTACTAGAAACGAGCAGGTTTGGACAATTTCCACATACTATCATCACATATGAGGTAGCGAATGTTGCAATATAATATATATATATATATATATTATAATATTTATTTTGTTTCTCTCTCTCTCTCTCTCTGTGGCCATCGTATTGCTGATATAGATATAGTTCTAGATATAGATATAGATTTTCCCATATAGCACAGCTGGTGACAAGACCAAGGCTACCCCACTTTCATACGGGCACCTCGTGGTGATTGTGCCCCGTCTCCAGCTGAAGGTTCACACATTGCTGCATAATGTCCACCTGCAGGCAGGAAGCTTTATGTGCCTCCCATAGATGGGTCATCTTTGGTGCCCACTATTCCATCCATGTTTATATGTTTTGCATACTAGTCAATCTCATCATGTAAAAATAAATTAATAAAGTTAAATATATGTATATATATATATATATACACACACTGTGTTGCTGTATGTTGCTGCAAGCATGAAATCCAGTTGGGCTATGATTTGTAGCAGTGTTTGCCACATTGAATTAGAGATTTGTTCACAGGAAAGGGAGCAACACACCGAAGAACTTGGGCCAACATAGTTGGATTGGGTTCACAGGTCTGCCCCTCCCCTTGGATATCCCAATTGAGCATAGTGGAACTAATGGGCTTCAAATAAATCAGAAAAATCCCAAACACTCACCATTTACCAAGTTGGACTGATCCTTCACCATTCCCCCAGGAAATCATCTGATTTCTTTTTTCCTGCCACAAGGACAACGGCAGCATCGCAGCATATCACCTGACGTTGCACGGGAACTGAGGCCCATTAGTTGAGATAAGGGAACATCCAAGACACTTCACATATAAGGCATACATAGACTGTCCAAACTCCAAACACTATGCATGCCCACCCCAACGTCCACGCTGACGGAAGCCATGCTTGTTTCCAACTGATTTCAGGAGGTTGATGTGAATGTTCCCTCGCCACCTGGGCGCTAAACATGTTCCCATGGTCATCATCGCGGATTGGGAGAAAAAACGTAATTGCTGTAACAATAACAACACTACACATGAAATGAGCGATCAGAGTGCGTCTGCAGGTGCTTTTGTTATCGCCTTGACGAAGGTGTTTTGGAAGTCTGGAAGGTTTGGCAAAGTTCATGCCGTCCGCTCCGTGTGTTCTCAGACTATGTGGGACAAATGGCTGTACAAGGACTGCATCCCCACAAATTGATCTCAGACACAACTTTAAGCAGGTCCCTCAAAATTGTTCAAATGTCCATGAAATTGGGCATCCACGAGCTCGATGTGGCATGCCGACCAGGTATGGCTCCTATATGACCCAACCACAAACGGTTGTGCTTGGGAGAAATGTGAGCCCAGGTCGAGTTAGAAAAAAATGCACGGATGCGTCTCAAATTGGAGGACTTTTCTATCAAATAGTGAACGCACCCTGGCCCTCTTCTGGGGCTGTCGGATCATCCCAGTCAGTTCCGATCGCCCTTGTTCAACTGCATTAGGATGTCGAGGATGTAGATGAAGATGTTGACCTCAGCCCCATATTGGGCTTTTACGTACCATCCCAGCTGCAAATATTACAAAAAAATATGAAATACCCTCATGTCTCATATCGCATTAATCAGTTGGGGGATGTTGGGGGGCATATTTTGCGTATTGTATTGCCATTTGAAGGAACCTTCAAATCTAATAACAGAAACCATCGGACCTGGGGGTGGAAACAAGGAAAAGTGGTTGCCCAAACGTTTTAATCTTGATTGAGTATATTATATAATGACATCAATGATGAAGTATTACTGCATATTACTGCTCTATCAATTTGGGGTCCCCTGTGCTATGTCTACTGATCCACTGCTATTACGATCGAGGCAGGGCTTGATAGCCCATGGTGTCAGATTGATGGAGCATTTACGGAATCCCTGGTCAGCAGCAATTTCTGTGTCTTTCTGGTGGGTCTATCTGATGTTGAGCCGCTGTGGTTGAAATTTCCTTTTCTACACCTCTAGCTGCTCTAGCTCCCCTCCAACTTTGTGCACCCGTTTATCCCGTTGGAATGTCTCTATATTTTATGTCCGTGCAAATTTGTATACATTATACAAATACCAAAATATATGTACACACACATGGATATATATATAATATATATATATATATATAGCTTTGTATCTATGTACAAATGGGTTCTTATTTTCACCCAGTACGACGGCAACAAGCATACTAGAGCACATCTGAACCTAAGTCATATGGGGTGGTTCCCCTTGACCAGAACGGATATGGATTTGTCTCAAAATTGGCTACGATCATATTCCCCGTTTACAAACGTCCATTTGATGGATACCTGTATCAGTCATGGAAGTTTGGGATTCCAATGGAAACTCCAGCATTCAGTTCAATCATGGTCTCAAAATTAATTACAGTAACTGTAAACCTCCATTTGTAGAGGATCTTCCAATTGTTTTTTTTTCTATGTGTTCCTGTGATTTGCCCATTCAAACCTAAATCTAGTTCGAGGATTTCCCATGATTTCCCAGCATTTTTCTATATGTTTCTGTAATTTTCCCATCCAAACTCATCCCAGCCATGGGGGGGATCCAAGGTGCGATGTCCATATAGAGCTGCACCGCTCCCTCGATGTAGTCATCCACCTTCAACTCGTGCGCGATCCGCCAGGTATCGAAGACCAGGTAGGCGCAGAAGATCCCGGCGCCCAAGAAGGAGACCTGTGGCGAAAGCCAGAGACCCTTGGGGCAAACAATGTCATAGACATCTATATATATATATATATAATAGATTACATACACTAAAAAAAGTTCGGGAGATGCCAGGATATATATAATAAATATATATATCTATATATTCTACAGCTACCCGGTACTACACTATGACTATGTGATACTATGTGTATATACTGCGTGTATATATAGTTCATGATGCCACATATGTTTGCATAATTTTACGTGTAATATCCAGGTATTGTTGAAATCAATATGATCATATATAATCGAGGCATTACATGGACAACTGTCAAAAATAAGTGAATGCATGTGTGCCTGCTGGACAGGATACTTATATAGTTATATATATATTGTGTGCATATATATACATATATATATATTGTGTGCATATATATATATATTGTGAACCGGGGATTGTTTGCCCGATTATGTCCTGGTAGTTAGGTTCGAGGTGATAGTTTCGGTGATGACGTTACACGGGCATCAGCTTCCGCATTGCTATTCTTTGCTCCAGCGCTGCAGTGGGTCTTGAGCCAAAGAGGCCAGTTTGAAGAGCCCCTTTGGTGCTGGATCCTAGAGTGTCTAATTGTGATAATATACAACGGTCCGTAGCCTACACTCTATTCGCACCCCCCACGCATGGCCAACTTTGTTGGCCACGCGCTAAGGAGTGTCCCTCGAATTGATTCACTACATCTGCAGCTTTTCATTTATTGAATTATGGAGAGCTAAAGTCCGTTCAGAACTTTACATCTACATGGCGGCTTGCTACGATCTCTACCAAAAAATAAAAGGTTCTGTTCACGTGCACGTAGACACGACGTAGTCGGTGTCTAGTATTGAGGTTCATCCGATGTGGCGTAGCCAGCATGGAATCCCACTCAAGCATGTGAATTAAAGAAATCAAAATACAAAGTTGACTATGGAACTAGAATTTTACCTTCCCGTTCCTTCGTCGGTTGAGATGTAGTCCGCTGTAGAAACTCAGCGTCTCGTGCAATGATGTTCAAAAAAAAATGTGTGGTTCTAAATTAGCCGGCTCAGAGTCCTCTCAGAAATCATTCGAAATGAAAAGGAGGTAAATCTCGAGCAATGATTGCATCCTCGCATCGCCAGGTTCAATCAGGACCTATGCAGAGGTCATATCGATTCATCATCTATATCCCCATCCATAGTATCCCTGTTGGTTCCAGTCGCCACCACGATGCGAATAAGATCTTCCACCTTTTCCTTTGTCTTTTCCACCCTTTTGTGGCGGGGTTACTGGAGCTTGTTTTGGCGGAGGAGCTGTTTCAACTGTTCTCCAAGTTGCTGACGATGATGCTTTCGCTTTTGACACCCTGCCCAGTGCTGTTGCCGCTTTCGGGGCTGCTTTCGATTTGCCAGCGGCTTGGTTAGCACGTTCACGTTCAGCAGGAGTTGGGGTATCAGCAATCGCAAGTATGTGGGCGTCAGACATGTGGATGCCCCATCTTGGTCGTTGATCGTCCCGTTGTTTGATGTGGTTGTAGTCATCGATCGCATCATACAGCTTCTGGAGTAGAGGTCGTGGCAATTGTCGGCCATTTTGAAGGATCAGGTGCAAAAGTGATATTCTTCGAAGTGCGGGACGAAGAGCACACACAATGTCAACTGGGTTCAGTGTGATTGTGTCTTGAAAGTCGACGTTCCTGAAGGAATAAACAGCATTCACCCTGTATGCACCTGCAATGATTCTTCTGACCATGACGTCTTGTCGGTCAAGGGCGTCGCGGGCCGCTGTGGTCTTTCTCATCTCATCCATCGTTGTGTCACGTTTCGACAGCTTCTCCGTCTCCTCTTCAAAGAAGATATTTTGTAAGTCATCATACGTGTAGCCACATTCAAGGGTGTATATGAGAAGTCTTTTGAGTACCACTGCCCCATAGTATGCATTGACGAATCCCTCTTCTCCGATGTCGTCCTTTTGATTTGGTCGGCCGATCTCTTCGTAGAGCTCTTTCATCTGTTGTGCAGTTGGTTCAATGAGTTCACCGTTCTCATCCTCGCCTAGGTAAGGCACTCTTGAGTCCAGGTCCATCCTGAATTTTCGGGTCTGTTGAAAATGTTTCCATGCCGTCTCGATGTCACCACAGAAGTTCCGTTGGAATAGTCTGTAGATCCTGACGATATGTAATCCAATTTGCAACAGGAGGATTTTGATGAGCTCCGGCTGAGCATCTCCAATTGTGCAAGGCTCGATTGGTAGGACCTTTGATCCAAACTCAATCCGCTTCATCCACTTGGGGTACTCAATCACTGCATCACGAGCTTCTCCAGCCTCATATTCTTCAATGTTGATTTCATCGACCGCTACTTCTTCATCATCATTCTCATCGGTCGGTTTTCCTTCCTGGTTGAGAAACTTGTCGACCTCATCTTGTTCTCTGAAGTCTCTTTTCTCATCATTGATGTCGCCTTTCTTCGAGGCTTGGTCATCATCTCCCTCTTCTGGTTGAGGTTCTTGTTCTGGACTCTTCATGTTGATGTCATCATCATCTGGCATCATCTCGTCGCCATCACCATCACCTGTCAAATCGAT